GGCGAAAGGGTATATCAAAAAAAAAAAAAAAAAAAAAAAAAAAAAAAAAAAAAAAAAAAAAAATATATATATATATATAAAGGAAAAGAGAAATGAAGAAAGAGAGGGGGGAAAAAAAATATATATATATATATCTACAGACTTGGAGATATAGGGATACAGAGTTGTGCAGTTTGTTAGATCGACACTAAATAATCGGTTTATAAAAATTCATGGCAAATTTAGGGAGGAGAGTGTTATATTCGAGTACTATGCTATGCCTGCCAGCCATTCATTCGCAACTACTCGTTCAGAATCAGCGAATTAAAAAAAAATGCAAAAGAGATAGGGAAAGAGAGTTTGTGTGTGTGTGTGTGTGTGTGTGTGAAAGAGAAACCGACGATATATATATATATATATATATATATATATATATACATATAGTATAGAAGTATAGTACATACGATGTATGTACAAATGTATGTACATTTTCTACTGTATCATCACACATTCCACAAATTTCCTCCTTCGGTGCATAGAACGAACGATCCATCACCAACAGACACAACAATACAAGGATTGTGATGTATCGAACTAACCCTCCTCCTCATTGCTTCTCTAATTACTTACAAACCCTGACGCAATTCGTGAATAGATTGCTTTTGTACAGAATGTAATAAACCTAAGCTACATATCGGGAATGAAGTATTAAAAAGAAAAAGGAGAGAATTTTTCGGAGTCGATGTGTTAAAAAGAGAGAAAAAAAAAAAAAAAGAAAAAATACTATATCGTTTTTTTGTTAAAAGGATATACGAATAATTGCACAGACGTATTTATAAAATCTATAAAATAATATAGTGTAGGAAACGACGAATTACGAATATATAAAAGTAATAATAGAAATGTAGTCGTATGATAAAGTCAAAAGATTAGAATTACGTTGGTTTAGGATTAGATTGTAAGAAATTGAAAGTATAATATTCTAGGTGTGCGTTTAAAAAAAAAAAAAGAAAAGTTATTCAGTGCAAAAAATGAATAAAATTCGACTAAGAAGGAGACGAAATTATGTGTACGTTTAACATTCGATGAACGAAAAGGTAAAAAAAGATATATAAATTATATAAAGATATATAAAGATAAATAAAGATATATAAAGATATATAAAGGTATATAAAGTATATATATATATATATACACACATACACGCACACACACACACGCACAGAGCTATGTATATATATATATATATATAGAAAGGGTGAAGGGAAAGAATTGGTATGCTTTTAGTAATCCGGAAACGTTAACACGAATATATCTTCTCGCGAAAGAATTCACTGCCTCTCGAATATGCTTGTATGACTTTCGAGCGAATCCTGAGTTATATGTATCGAAATCCAATGGAAGGGGGGGAAGGGGGATGAAATATAAGGGACGTATAGGAACAGGGGAGGGTGGGGAGGGAGATAAGCAACGAGGTGATAGCGAAAGGTAAATGCATGTGTAGATACGATTAGATGAAATCGTAACAAATATTTTTCCTTTTAATTTAATTTCTGCACTCGATGAAGTGCAAAGGAGCATCATCATCTTACCTTTATCTTTCACACGATAATAGAAATCCTAAGATTAATTTGAATTAGACAAGAAAAAAAAAAAAAAAAAAAAATAATAAATAAATAAATAATAAAAAAAGATAATAGTTGAAGACAATAGATAGAGAATTTATACGAAATACGAATAATGTAATAATGTAATTTGAAAAAAAATTTTAATAATCTTTTCGAACAACTGTGTCATCGTAATATATGTAAAAAAAAAATAAATTTGACGATGATAAATTATTTCATTTATTACGTTAGATTTTTAACGATTATCGATAGAAATTTATATCTACGTTTTTATATCAAATGAAATATATATATATATATATATATATATATATATCGAATAGCAATGGTGGTTAAACTTATTGGTGTTCTCAAGCTCATAAACCCGATATCTCTTCTCTCTTTCTCTCTCGTGGGAGTAAACAATGTTTGTAGGAAACTCTGCTTTGAAGTTAAACCGAGTGCAGGGTGTCTCCCTCCCTCCCTCCCTCCCTCCTCCTCCCATCCATCTAACAAGCTCTCGTAGAACATCTCATCTCGCTGTTGAAAATCTTTTTCAGATCGAAAAAAAGATTTCCGAACGAAGCACTCGCTTTCCTCCTCCCTCCTCCCACCCCCCCCCACGTAAAAATTTCGACGATTTTCTTCTATCGTATATATTTTCTTTCTCATAATGAAATAAAATGATAAAATAAAATAAAATATTATAAACGATATGAACGTCATAAGTTCACGTTATATTATATCATTCACTTCCTTTTTTTCTATTTTATTTGATATCATCGATATCTATATATATATATATATATATATATATATATTTATATTTATATACAAAGAGAGGTGGGTGGGAGGGGGGGGTTGGATAAAGGAAACAGAAAAGGAAAAATAATTCTCGTCATCTTCGTTTTCAGAATTATCGATGAAAGCTCGCAGTGCAAAAGAATCTAACGTAACACAATCCAGCTTGATGAACGAGGATACCGAGAAAGATGAAGATGATGGGGAAAGTGATATTACGTTTGCTGAATTTAAAGAAAGATATAGAAGACTTATACCTTATATGGCATTTTACGCTGCTAATAATAATTTAAACGTCGTATCGTCTACAATAAATGGAAAGAATTTTGTCAAGGTACCGTCGAACGACGAAGTTACGTTATTGAGAAGATCGCAACAATATCGACCAACGTTCTCTCGAATAAACGTCGAAGGTACGAGAAATGTTTTGAACAATTATAGAATTAATAACGTTCAAAATCAATTGAGAAAATTTATTCCTTCTGTTCAATACGATCCAAATGATAACAACGGTGATACGGATTATTTCATACCGATAAGATACAATTCCAAAGCAAATAACGTTGATTATTATTCAACTACCCCGTATAATTTGTACAATCAAGAAGAAAAACAATTGCACGAAGAAATAACAAATCCTAATGTGGATAATATACAAAAGGATAATATTAATAATAATAATAATAATAATAATAATAATAATAATAATAATAATAATAATAATGATGATATTGAAGATAATGATCGTCAATATGGTAGACCTATTCGACCCTATATTTCAACAGGGAATATAAGGGAATATGTTAATAGGAATCAAGGATTGAAACCTATACAAACGAATTTCCCTCAAGATTACGTCTATGATCACATAAGTGGTACAACGTCAAAAGGAAAGACCATAGTTGATATTAATTATCCAAGTGAAGACATAGAATCCCTTCGTTATATTCCCCAGCCGATAAGTTCTAAAGGTACGCAACAAACGATTAACATTCTTGATACTATTCCTCCTCCTTCTCCTCCTCCACCTCCTCCTCCTTCTTCTCCTCTTCTACCTCCACTTCTTCCTCCTCCTCCTCCTCCTCCTCCTCTTCCTCCTTCCACTCCTACTTCTAATCCTATTCCTAATGGAAGACAACCAGTCAATGTTATTCCGCAAAGGAATTTAAATTTTATTAATATAAATCCAATAATAGAGAGTTTTCAGTTAACCGAACGTCTACCCGAGACACTGGATAAAAATAATTTGGATAATAGTATAAAAACTCTCATTGAGATATTAAATATTCTTCATAACGCGAAAAAAGAAGAATTCCCACAATTACCTCAATCATCATTGTTATCCGATTTACCATCCGTAATTGATAGGCCGATTCAAAGAAGACCTTATTCTAATTATTATCCAAAATTACGTCCAAATACAAGACCAAAAGTTATTACGGAATCTAGATTTCCAACTGTGCCAACGTCTTTGTTAATAACGGATGATCCGGATCGTTTAAAATCGACATCTTCTTACGTTAATGAAGTCAAAGCTAAAGTTATTGTTAAACCTGTTGTTTATACGATTGACGATTTTAAATCGACTCCTTCTTATAAAGACAATGAATTTAGATTGGTTACACCTAAATTACCTGTACAATCGAGTTATATGCTTACGGACGAAAACGATGGTAAGAAAGTTGTATATTTTGATAACCCTTATGTGCCTCAAGATATTACTCAGCAAAACAATAAAAACAATAACAACAAGGACAATAACAATAAGAACAAAAATCCATTGGAAATATCGACTCAACATTCTTATGAAATCACGGAGGATCTTAGTGACGATATTATAGATCCGGATCGTTTTAAAATACCACAAATAATTACTGAGACAACGACGAAGACGTTGTTGTCTATACCTGAAAAAAATGTCGTCGAACAAAATGAAATTTCTACGATGCGTCCTTCAACGGCAAATCATCATCATCCGTCATTAAAATACGGTGTAACACGTGGCAAACCAAATGTCGATTATCCCGCATACGCTGTTATACCGGATACAGAATTTAGTTGTAAGAAGCAACGATACAAAGGATTTTTCGGTGATCCATCGACCGGTTGTCAGGTAAGAAAAAAAGAAAATTAATATCATTAAATCGTTTCTACAATTTCCTTCTTGGCTTGAATACAAATTTACTTGATTATAAATTTTCTAATTGTCATATCTTTTTTCCATTATCATCATTATTATCATTATTATTTTATTTTATTTTATTTCCTTTTTTTGTTCCAAGGTATGGCATTATTGCGATCTTAATGGAGGCAAATCATCATTCTTATGTCCAAATGGTACTATCTTTAGTCAAGTTGCATTAACATGCGATTGGTGGTTCAATGTCAAATGCGAATCTACGACACAATTGTACGTTTTAAACGAACGCCTATACAAATATATACTTCCGATAATGCCAAAATTCCCGGAAGATTTTACCGGTCCGGAGGTCGATCGATATTTAGAGATCAAATTCAAGGAAATGGAAGCTAAGCTAAAGGAGAAAAAATTAAAGAAACAACAGGAACGAAAGGACAAAGCCAAGGGCAAGATACAAACGATCGACGATAACAATAACAAAACTCGTGAATAATAATTTTTAATTACAAATAGAAAATTAAATAACAATTATTATGATCCCATTTAACGTATATCATACGTATCTCGTTGCCATTGCAATTTGTTTGCAAAAAGGAGGAACAAAAAAAAAAAAAAAAAAAGGTAAAAGAAAAATCGTGATTCTCGAAATTATATTTCGTGTAGTAAAATAAGATTATTTATAGTAATAAATAACATCTGTACTTAGGCGAAAACAATCATAACTTTAAAATATAACATTAGAAGGTCAAAAAAAATAATGTAACGTATGTATGTATGTATGTATATATCATAAAAATTTTGCCTCATTTTTTCTTTTTTCTTTTTAATTTTTCTTTTCTTTTTTTTTTTTTTTTTTTTTTTTTTTGTTTATTTTTATTATCATTATTCAAATTAATAAAAATTAATTTTCTGTTTATACTGATCATATTAGCAGAATTTTTTTTTTTTTTTTTTTTTTTTTATAGAAATGTGAGCGGGTATAAAATGGCTGATGATATTCATAAGTATTTTCTCCCTCTCTAGTCATACATGCTTACTATGTAATTATTTATAACAGAATGTGCTCAGTTAATTGAATATTATTGTACCTAAATGTTTATAATAAAAGACTTTCTATAATAGTCCTTTATATAAACGTGAACTTTACTTATAATATATATATATATACATACACACACACATATATATATATATATATATGTATGTATGTATGTATGTATGTATGTATGTATGTATATATATGTGAGTAATGTTAATGTTAAATGTTGATATAAATTTCATCCATGTAAGAAGAACATTTGATAAATGTTACTGCGATGCATCATAAACAAATGAAGAATGTATAAACACTATGTAAAGTTATAAACGCATAATAAATCTATTTATTACTCTTTTTTTTTTTTTTTTTTTTTTCTAGAATCCGCAAAGTTTCACAATTACCTATCAAAATGTCATCCTTTTTTTATTATAACAAAATATTAAATAAAAATGCTTACCTTTAATGTTTGAAGAACACGGTGTAGACTCTCTGCAACATCATTGTAAGCTTTGTTAAAGCTATCCATTAATTCTTGATTCTAAAAAGAAAAAGAAAAATTTATGAGATGTTTTGAAATATTGTCTTTTAAGAAATAGAAAAATGAAAGTAAAACATAACAGGTGCTAACCTTTTCTAACAATGATATATGATTGTGCTTTGAGTGATAACGTAACATGCAATGTGAACAACTAGATATTTTACAATCGTTACAAAAATAACCAGCATATTCATTGCAAGTATTAGAACAAACACTGAATATTGTCAAAGGCATATCTTTTATTTCATTAATTAAAATTTTGGAATGATTTTGTAAAGCCTTTCCATGTATCTGTGAAACAATGAAATGATAAATCTAATAATACTTAATGAAATAAAAAAAGAAATATATAAGTCATTTATAAACCTACCTTTGAATAACATGTTTGACAATAAAGGGCATTACATTGTGGACATCTTAAGGTAGCTTCTATTTCACATTCATGACAGTGACCTTTTTCAAGAATAAAATTCACTATAATATTGAAAAACTATATAAAGAGTTTATATATATATATATATATATATGCATAGCATCAATTAGAAACCTGCGATTTGAAATAGCCGTGCTTTTGGAACAACTGTTTGAGTAAAAGAAATATCTGGTTCTTCTAATAAGTATGGTTGATGACTTGCAACAAATAACAAACCCAATGTATAAATATTTAAGGGATACATTTCACTTTTTTTCTCATTAATTTCCACATGCTCACAGCACAATGAGCAAGATATATCAGGATATAATTTTGCACACCCATAGCAAATAGAATGTCCACATTCCATTAACAAAGGAATTTGTTTTCCACGCAATGTTAAAACTTCTGAAATTAAAGAAATGAAAGAAACAAAAAGAAATAAAGATAATATCATTTAACAATAATATTTGTTCAAATTAAACAAATAATCCATTGTAACTTTATCTATTGTGATTATATTGTTATATTAAGAATATATTTTTAACCTTTGATCAGATATAAAGAAATTCAATCATAATAAATTTCATTCTTTTGAATATTTGTCATTTTATATTGTACCAATGCAATATACTATGGATTTGAAGAAAAAAAAAAAAAAAAGAAAAAAAAGAAAAAAGAAGGAAGAAAGAAAGAAAGAGAAACAAGAAGTAGAAGAAGAAGAAGAATAAGAAGAAGCATAATTCTTAATGTTCCTTTTTCAAACAAAAAAAAAATATTAAGCATGTAAAGGTGATCAATTTAATTAAAAGAAAAGGAAAGAAAAGTAAATAGAAATTAATAATAAAATATATTTACCTCGTACGATAAATAGACATTTGCAATGGACGCATGTTATATTTTTCAGCTTGATCCTTGGAAAATTATAATTTGGCGCATCTTTATTGGGATCACGATAACCAAACATTGTTATTCGTTGAAATGAGAAGGAAAAAAGAAAAATTAACAATCCGATAATTGAATATTCACGAAATATCACGTTATTTTTATATACGATTGATAACTATAAAGATAATTATAGTTCTTTCTTACGCGAAATCACTACATACTAATGGAAAAGACAAACGCCGCGACTTATGGTTTCACTGTTTTTGAATCTACTGCCAGGGATGGCGCACGAATTTTCAGGTACCACGTCCAATAATATTTATTTAATTTCATCCTATAGATATTTTACAATTTTTCTCCACTCATTCTATCTGAATATTATTTAATAAAAATCCATTGGCAATGTTCCTTTTAAATTAATAAAATAACTTGATAAAATATTGTTATAATATATATATATATATATATATGTGTGTGTGTTACGTGTGTATGTTGATGTATATATAATAATAAATATTTTAATTTGTTCGACGAACACGAGGAAGCAATTTGCGAGGAGGTAATTAGAGAATAGAAGGAAAATAAAAAAAAAAGAAAAAAAAAAGAAGGAAGAAAAAAGAAAGAAAGAGAAAAAAAAGTTACTCGTTGAAAAGCAATTTACTTAAAATCAGTAGCGCCAAAATTCAATTAGTCATTTTTCGATGCAACAACGGCACAAACCGTTTGGAAACGGAAAATATTATTCGTATGGTAATAAATGTATATATATATATGTATATCTTTTTCTTTTATAAAAATGAGTTTTATATATGTACATATATATACACACACATACACACATACATATATATATATATATACATATATGTATAGAGAAAAAAAAATGTATGCAAAATAGTGATAAAATTTACAGGTTATACGTGATAAAGTATTACTTAAAGTGTCACTACTAATGTAAATCGATTAATAACATTATACGTTTCAATATGAAAAACAATTATGATTGATATTATGTTATCTCGAACATTATATTTACATCAAACAATGATGTATTATTGTTTGTACGAGGAAATAGATTGTTATTTTTTCTTTTCTCTTTTTTTTTATTTTTGTTATTACTTTTCTCTTTCTCTTTCTCTTTCTCTCTCTCTCTCTCTCTCTCTCTCTCTCTCTCTCTCTCTTTCTCTCTCTCTCTCTCTCTCTTGTTCGTTAAAGGTTAAACACTTAATACGTAAAGTACATTTCTAAATAAATATATTTACGTAATGTGTAAAATGAGGTTATTTCTCGAAACGAAAATTTATTTTCATACATCGACGATAAATATTCTTTTTATTCGTATCCGTGTATACGTCCTTATTTATTTTCTTTTCTTTATTTGTTTTTATTTTTCTTTTTTTCTTTTCTTTCTTTCCTTCGCCACGAAGAAAAGTTACGTACGTTCTATTTCGTACGTAAAAAAAAGGAAAAAAAAGAAAAAAGAAAAAAAAATTTTTTTTAAAGAACAATTTTGATTAAGAGGAGAGAAATTATTTTTGGAAATATTATTTGAAAATTGACAAAGGTTTAATTAAAGATAATAACGTTACGATATATTTCCAATATTTGATACTTGAAAACTTTTAAAGTGATTCTTTTGTTTTTCTTCCCCCTTCCCCTTCTCCTCCACCAGCTTGACAGTTCTTTTGAAAAATTTTAAAAACATTAATTATTTTACTTATTCAAATACTCCATCCGTGTATATCTGATCAAAATCTATTACTATTATCACTATTACAATATTTAATACGTAGTAGTAAAACGTGTTATGCGTAAATACATACGTAAAAATGTATTTCGAATATTTATTCTTTTAATTTAAAAATTAGCTCAATATGGATCGATTGTTGAAACGGTCAATACATTTATCTTCTATATATATATATATATATATATATATATATATATGCGATCCAACGTATAATCGTATTTCTAATGTACGTGCTAAGTCTACATAACCTAAAAAAAAAAAAGAAAAAGGAACATTATACATAAAAGAAGAAAAAGAAAAAAATAGAAAAACGATAGAAGAAACGTGTGCTTCAAAACGTGTTTCAAAAAAGAAAAAAAAAGAGAGAGAGAAAAGAAAGAAAGAAGAGGGCAAAAAAATCCAAACAAAACAGCGCCAACGTTTCCGTACGATTGGAAAGGTTACGTGATAACGAGAAACCGAGAAGGTAAAAAGAAGAAAAAGAAAGAAAAGGAAAGAAGAAAAAATGATGAAGAGAAAGACGATCCATTCGACGAGGCTCGCTCAGTCAAAATCGTTTCCATGCGGAAACTCCGATCTTTATTTTTAAAAAGATCGCAAAGACCGTTAACGTAGCTTATGACGATTCTTGTCAGCCGCTGCTGCTGCTGCTGTCTGGCGAGCAGAAAAGTCGACGCTGACGATCACGTGCTCGTCCGAATATTATCAGAGGGCCAATCAAAAGCGTAGGAAATAAATAAACGAACGAACGAACAAATAAATAAATTAAAAAAAAGAAAAAAAAAGGAAAAAGAAAAAAGAAAAAAAAATCAATGACAAATAAAAAAGAAAAGAAAAATATTTTTACGTAGTTAAATACACATGACAATTTGTATCTACGAATAAGATATAAAATATTACGTTCATCGACGATGATGATGACGATGATGATGATGTTAGATCGATCGACATATTGAAATTTGGTATCATTAAAAAAAGAAAAAAAGAAAGTAATTCCTCAATTTCTTCACGTCATCGATAAATATTTTTTTTTCTTACAACGACGAACAAAATAATAACGAATGAATTAATACAAAGTAAAATTGTTTGATAATGAAGAAAGAGAAAAAAAGAAAAAAAAAAAAAAACGTACATACGTTTTATTATTATTAATCGGAATATAATCGAAAGGAAAAAAATCTTTCCTCTGTCATAGGAGATAGAATGAATCGACAAAGTTGATTGGAATAAGTTTATAAAAGAGATGGCGTTGATGACTCTAGCGATGTACTTTGACTGACGATCGTGCGTATGAGGAGGGATTCTGTTTATATGTAGACAAACGTATAATATAAGCAAGGACGTACACATACACATATATATATACACACATAGATACACTCATCGTATAAACGTACGTCGGCCATCGAAGGTAACACACGTATACCATCATACGTACAAATAAAACGTACATACATATACACATAACATACGTCCATCCATACATACATATATATATATATATATAAAATGTTTCTAGGCGTAAATTCGCGAGTCGCGTGCCAGATGCCGCTGCGATCTCGTGACCAGCCTCACGGAGTTCAACAAAAATGTAAAGAAAAAAAGAAGAAGAAAAAAAAGAAAACAAAACAAAATAAAAATAGAAAAAGAAAAGAAAGAGAAAGAGAAGAAGAAGAAGAAGAAGAAGAAGAAGAAGAAGAAGAATTAAAAGTAGAAGTAGAAGGTAATATAAGAAAAATAATAGAAAAGAATAAAGTATGACATATCGGATGGACGGATTAAAGAGGAAAAAGCAGGATATAAACGAGGATATGGATATATATATATATATATATATATATATCCATATATATATATATATATATATATATATATGGATGAGGATGAGGATGAGGATAAGAGAGAGAAGAAAAAGAAAAAGGAAAAAAAAGATGAAGAAGAAGGAAAGTGGGTAAGCGGTAGAGTTACGTCGTAATGGTCTAAGAGATTCTAGGTGCGGTCGCGGCCAAGGGTCCGTTATAATCCCACCCAATAGCTACCGTCGTAGCCCAATGAACAAGATGCCTTTACATTTTACTTCCTCAATGCTTGAATTTCTTCTACTTTTATTTCTATTTCTTCATCTTCATCTACATCTTCATCTTCATCTTCATCTTTTTCTTCTATTTTTTCTTCTTCTTCTTCTTCTTCATTTTCTTCTTCTTTTTTTTTTTTTTTTTTTTTCTCTCTTTTCATTTACCTGAAACGTTTCGAGAAATATTTCTCGAACATTCCACAAATTTAATTTATTTATCATCTTGTTAGATATGAAATATTTCCACGTTCAATGCTATGGTAAAAATGGAATTTCTTAAATTATAACATTGTAAACGTTAAAAGAGAGACAAATGGATCTACGTTTATAATTTATATATTTTAAAGTATATAACGATTGTTATGATTATAAACGATAATTATTCAATTTCACTTGAATCAATAAGTTTTTTAATTAGTTTTAATATATCTATAAATGATATTAGTATAGTTTTCTTTTTTTTTTCTCTCTTTTCTTTTCCTTTTCTTTTTTTTTTTTCTTTCTTATTAAATATCTTTCAATATATCGATTAGGTCTATAATTTTAAGAATATAATTTTTTAATAAATTTCATTCTTGGTAGTAAATAATAGTAAAGTTTTGCATTATTTAAAAATTCGTGATAATGTTATTGGGTAGTAATATGAACAAATTTTCATAGGTTGAAAATGTATTACATGAAGGATTCTGTTCTCTCTTCTCTTTTCTTTTTTTTTTTTATTCTCTCTCTCTCTCTCTCTCTTTGTACTCTCTCTCTTTTTTTCTATCTGCTTTTCCAATCCATTCTTGACGTTACAAAGAGGAAAAGTTGCATCTTCGAGAGAAATATTGATCGATGACGTTAGATTTTCTCGTGAGTCTCTCGTGATCGATGAAAACTAATATGGGTACAGTAAACAGAGTTCTCTTTCTCTTTCTCTCTCGTATACACACACTTACACACACTTAACATACACACTTGAACACATACTCACATGCACACTATCTCTCTCTCTCTCTCTCTCTCTCGCAATCTCTCTTTTTCTCTTCTATTCTACCATTCGATGTAAAAAAGAAAAAGGAAAAAAAAAAAAAAGAAAAAAAAAGAATTGCTGACTTCATTTATTAAGTATAATTTACTTACATACACTTTTTGTCACGCTTATGCGACTCATTTCTCAAGTTTCTCTACGCGTTATTTAATAAAATGTATAAAGACATTTTTAAATGTCGAACGAAGAAATAATATTATAAGAAAAAATTATTATTTTTATCAAAATGAAATATTACAATATTATATGTAAATGCACAATATATATAAGATCAAGGTAATCATGTAGTTAAAAGTTATTTGGTATTAAATTTAATACGAATTTAATTTTGAAAATTAATGTATCTTTATAATGATATATAATTATATTAAAAATATAATAAGAAACGTTCTGTGAGATTTTTCAAAAAAAAAAAAAAAACAAAAAAAAAAAAAAAGAAGAAAAAAAGAAAAATCATCGACCTCGATGGAGGAAATAAAAAAAACATTTATGCGAGATTTTATATCAATGGAATATATATATATATATATACACGTATCCACATGTACATACATACATATGAACAACGATACAATAAAATCATGAACAAAGGTAAACACGTTAACGTTAACAAGCGAACGAATGTGTAGTTCTTAATGATTCGCGTAAAGCATACAAACGCACATACATACATACATACATACATACATACATACATAGATAGATATTAATACATATACGTATATATTTTTCCTATCTTTATGTGAACAAGAAAGAGAGTATGAGAATTTGATAAAAAAAGAAAGAGAGACAGACAGAGAGAGAGAGAGAGAGAGAGAGGGAGAGAGAGAGACAGAGAGAGACAGAAAGAGAAAGAGAGAGAGAGAGAGAGAAAGAGAGAGAGAGAGAGAAGAAACAATTCGGAACACATTAGATAAGATTCGTACTTGGTTGGAGTTTACGTAAGCGCGACTTTACGTGATGATGCCGGCAGTGAATAAGAAGAAGTAGAAGAAGATGAAGAAATTGTAGGAGTAGAAGGAGAAGGAGGAGATGGTGATGGAGGCGGTGAAGGAGGAAGAGGAGAAAGAGGAGGAGGAGGAGGATGAGGAGGAGGATGAGGAGGAAAGAGGGACGAGGGATAGGTCGGACTCGAGTCGACGTCGTTCTGTCGGACGAGAAAAACAAGTGAGCCGTTCTCTCTGGACTAGGCAAACCGAGCGAAAGAGAGCCGTGGCAAGGTCTAGGTTGGCTGCTATTCAAGGTCGCGTGTAGAGCGCAAAGCCCGGATCTATCCCCGCCCCAGATTTCTAGCGCCCTTTACTTCTTCCCTCTCCTCTTCTATCACTCCCTCTCACTCTCTCTCTCTCTCTCTCTCTCTCTTTCTCTCTCTCTCTCTCTCTCTCTCTCTCTCTCTCTCTCTGTCTCTCTTTCATACACACACACACATACACACATACATATATATATTTCTATCCATAGAGATACGACTCCTTTTGCTTTTCCTCTCTCGCTCGTAACCACACATACATATATATGTATATATATATATATATAAATACATACACACACTTTACAGTACCATGTATACGTAATAGTAGGATCATACGTACACATAGTACACACGCAGGCATACTTCTAAATGTATACAACATAGATAGAGAGAGAGAGAGAGAGAAAGGGAGATGGACTAATAATTTCACATACACTCATTTATGTATATATATATATATATATATAAATGCATAGTATAGGTACGTACAGTTGTATACAGAGAGGAAAAAGATAGACGCAGTCACACGGTCCACAAATCGCGAATTCCCCTTTTCACCCATCTGTCTGCCACACGCGTTCCTCTTTCCTCTCTCTCTCTCTTTCCATTCCCTCCCTTCTTCTATTTTATTCCTTGTGACCGCTCTTGTCTCGTCTCTCTCTCTCTCTCTTTCTCTCTCTATCTCTTTCTCTCTATCTCTCTCTCTCTCTCTCTCTCTCTCTCTCTTTCTCTCTCTTTGTCGCGCTTGAATCGCGTGCAACATCGATTTACCCATAAAATTTTCCTGCTCTCGACGATTCTCTATCGCTCGCGACCATCGGTGGCTCCTTGCCCGGGGCTCCCAACAACAACGTTTCATTTCCCGATTCTTTATTCTAATCCATAATGGAAGGACAATTACTATTATCTTAGGACCTGTGAAAATCCTTCGTTGTTTTCTACTATTCTTCCCACGTTAATATATATATATATATATATATATATAGAGAGAGAGAGAGAGAGAGAGAGAGAGATAGAGAGATAGAGATAGATCTAGACGCACGAATGTACAATAGCAAACAAGACGTGTATATATATATATATATATAAATATATATATATATATATATATATATATATATATATATATATATATATATGTTACATCTTATAAGTAGATAGACGTATTATACACAAGGCCGTTACGTGGAAGGAACGATTGGATCTTTACTCTTGATTAAGAGGAAAAAGGCCGTATATTCGAGTTCGTCGTGGAAGGACGAACGAGACGTAAGTATACGCCATTTTGATTTTAGAGTTTAACAGATGGAAGATCGCGAAGAAAAGGAAAGGATATAGTTAAATAGAAGAAACTAGTAATTATTTACTTATTTACATACTTATTTACTTACTTACTTACTTACTTACTTACTTACTTACTTAATTCTTTACTTATTTATTTATACATTTAACACTTATCTATGATCCTTTTGAAATAACAATTTGTAGATTTAGGATAAAAGTGGATAAACGTTTTCTCTCTCTCTCTCTCTCTCTCTCTCTCTTTTTTTTTCTTCTTCTTTTTTTTTTCTTGTCACCTTGAACGCATACCTACGACGATCCAATTCAAAGATTGAAGAAAAATCCTACGATGGGATTTAAAAGTTTCATGAGAGCGAAGGTACATGTCTCTCTCTTTCTCTCTATCTCTATCTCTCTATCTTTATCTGATGGTTACTTTTCCACGTAGGTACATGCACATATATATATATATATATATGTGTGTGTGTGTGTGTGTGTGTACGTACGTATGTATGTATGTATGCACAAATACACGAGAAAAGAAATGGCTTGTTCGTAAAGCAAAGAGAAACGACGAGAAATGCTCAAGCGCAGTTGAATTCCACAGACGGTCTCTTCTACGATGTTCCTTGTCATGGATGAAGTCACGGTAATTGCGAATTTAAAAAGATTTTGTCAACGCTTAGAAAGGAAGATGGCGTGCATCTTTTGGTTATTAAATGAATACATATATATACATATATACGTACATATATATATATATATATATATATATATAAATGAATGGATGGATATAATATAACTGTGCGATATCCTGTCTCGCTCTCTTCTCTAAATTCAATTCCGTTGACCTAGATTAGGTGGTACGTGACACGATGGAGATTCGCCGTAGGTTCTCTCTCGTTGTCCCTATCTATATATCTCTCTATCTAACTTCATCTTTGTCCATCTATTTCTATTTCTCTCTCTCTCTCTCTCTCTCTCTCTTTTTCTCTTTCTCTCTTTCTCTCT